AAGGGGGTTTGCCCCCCCCCCCCCCCCCCCCCCCCTACTACCCCGCTCGCGAACAATTTTGACAAAATAAATATTAATTACCGAGTGAAATATGTTCGTCCTTTGGCACGATTTCAGCACGCCCTTTTGGTCAAGCAAAACAAGCTCGCACCTCCCGGCCGTAATACACAGTAGGAATTTTGCATACCTAAATTCTAAGTCTTGGGCCTTGGCGGATTTGTAAGAAATGTTCGAGGACTAACTCAGTGTTAAACACACAAAGTCATTTCCCTCAAACATTTTTTACAAATGCTTCATGCTTTACCCACACTGTCACTGTATGCAAAATTCCTACTGACAGTGACTACCTGAAGAAACTTTGATAGTGTAAGCAGCCTTTGGGAGTTCACACTTGAGATCGATCTAAATTAAATTAGAGCGATCTCACACCAATCCGAGACCGGACGCACATGCACAAAATCTTGAATGAATTAACCGAATGTTAGTATAGGTAATAGTGTGGCTTCGAGTGCAATTTGGAAAAAAACATGCACGAGTGAGTTTTTCAAAGAGGATAAAAAATTTGCCGACTTCCAACCATAGATATCTTATATAAGATATCTATGCTTCCAAATCCAACAGGCAGTTTGAAAGTACCTAATCAATATATACAGTAACACAATAACAATTTTGGATTCCCAACAATGACAACTAGGCCACTTAATAATACACTATCTTGCCAAGCACACCCCATTGGCTTAGGAGTTTCACAATTGATCTTAGGGTTCTGAAACGGTATACGTATACGGTACCCCGCATTCCACTCTGATCCTACAGTAAGTTACAGTACGGTAAGTTAGGATAATCTTAAGATCACATTAGGGCAAAATGAAACTGCAAATACGCAAAACTGCACCTAAGTTAAACATAACTCTAACTTGCCACTTGGCCCCCAATTTTTTAAGATTTTTATTGAAAAAATCATTATTATACAAAACACCAGTGCTACAATACCATATCGATTCAATTGCATCTATACTCAGACGGCAAGCACAGTGGGAAAGATTTAAACAAAATTTAAAAGCATGCACGAACAATGGCTAAATAGAAACCATAATGCACACTCTTTCGATAATTACGTCACAAATACTTCCTGGTCCAGGATGCCGCACTCTCTTTAATGAAGATGAAAGGCTATTTGTTCATGATTCATGAGAACGAGGCTCCCGGGACAATTATTGAAAGGGTGTGTTTGGTGGGACGTCGAATGCAGATGAATACTAGCGTTGTATGCATAGTCAGATAATATAGTCTTTTAGGTTTAACATTCATGATGAGAAAAACATTGGTAGCAGATGCTGCTTCAAAGGCTGTTTAACCCATTGAGCGCTCTCTTTGATGAGTAATGCAACTTAATGGTTTGGGTTAGACTGTCCTTCAAAAACAATAGTGTTTCTATTAAATCACTTGCGTGGTGGACATTAATATGGCGCGCAAACAGAGAATAGAAAATTGCAATGCGATCGCCATGTTCCTAGCCAGTGCGTTATGAGAGACATTCACCGCTTGAAAATAATCAAAATGACAGACATTCTGGGGGCTGAATGCCAGCTTTCATAAGCACACTGGCGAGTAACATGGCGACAGGGACATCGTGAGCAGTCTTCCTTTGGGGTGTGAGCAGCAAAAAATCTACCTGATTTTTACCTAGTTCATAATGGGGGGGGGGGTCGTTGGGGGGTCCGCAACACCGTACAAATGCGTTCGAGGACACCGCAACACCGCAAAAAAATCGTAAACACCGCATGGAAGAAATACGGTTAAAAACATGTTATTGGCGCGTTCCATAAGGGCATAAGGTTTTTAATTTCTGTTATTAGATTATAGATTGTGAGTTAGGTCGTCGTTAGGCCAAAAAAAATGTGTGAATTTAAAAAAAAACTGAAAAAAATTTTAAACGCAAAACTGATCAAAACTATACAGAAATAATATCATCTCACCGTATCACCGTAAGATAAAACGCACGATATCACCGCACACCGCGCCTTTTTCTGTCACCGCAACACCGCAATTTTGGAGCCTTAGCCACCGTATCACCGCACTAAAAATAGCCCAACTCCGTAACACCGCAAGTCCCCATGCCTCCCACCCCCCATAATTTTATCTGAAATTAGCTAACTTTTTAACAGCTAAATAATATTTCTTTTCCCAAAATTGTTGGCGAGTAGGGGGGAGGATGGGTCAAAAATTTTTTTGCCGTATAGACTATATAGTATATATGAAAAAAATTTTCGGACATGGTGAGTGCATTTTGATGATGAAGTGATGAATCTTAGGTTTGCAAATCATGGCATGGCAGCAGTTTCATTTGAATGTACGTCTTTCAATATTTAATCAGGTCTCTATTCTCTGCCTCAAAGATTTAAAAATGCTCATGGCCATGAGGCCTGTTGGCCCTGTTTGGCAGAACTAGCGAACTAATAGCCTAATTCTTTTCTCTCATTTGCATTCCTTGAACTAACTCAAGATACAATGTTAATATTAAGTGGTAATTCTACACTGGAGTGGTGAAACAATACCAACCTGCCAAAACCTTTTGTTGACATGAGCAATGGTGACATATTTCTGTTTGCATAACTCACAGGTTACTGATCCAGATTTCTTTATCCAGTGGAGCAAGCAAGATGTGTGTGCTAAACCAACTGAACCTTTACATTGACAATGCGAAAAGAGGTCTCCGTTCTTATCAGTTTCACGACAAATACGGCACAAGTGTTCATTTGAAAGTGACACAATCGAGGATGATGTACTACAATCACCACCAGAGCAGACATCTAGATACTTAGAAGTGTTCATGACTGGCATTATATGTTTCTCCTAAAAAAACAATAAAATCAAACATTACCATGAGTTTGTGAATACATATAGTACAGCTAATTCAACTGAAGTTGTGTTGCCCAGGGCTTGAAATTTGCAGCATCCCGATATCCATGAAATACCATAATTTAAAATTGGATGCTGGACATCACATGCTCAGTGTCCATTGGGGTACTAAATAAATTTCTGTCCTCCACAGATACAGTATTTTTCTGTTGTTTATGAATCCTTCGAATGATATCAAATTCATTGCAATTGACAACTCCTTTTGTATTGTTTCAAGGTTTGAATATTACTATTCAAATGTGAGATACTACTGGATTTTTTGTGGTGGATAATTATCAACCTGGTGAGTACACAACACCAACACAGCAAATCATGATTATTAGATCACATTGATATCGATGGAACTACACTCAGTTCTGAAATATCACATACTCGAACCGACCTGACAGCGCAGCTAGTTCAGTTGGCAGAGCATTGGGCTTAAGTATTCCAAAGGTTGTAGGTTCGATTTCCACCATGACCAGGCATACAGTACTTTTCAAGCTTGCTCGGTGTGTCGGTCGATACACACTCACATCACAAACATCTTTACAGATAATTATCAACCTGATAATCAGGTTGGGTGGATACCAGATTTCACGTAAACTTCTAGTATCCCACTGGACAGTGCTTAAAATGTTGCATTTCAAGCCGTTGCCCTCGAAGGTCAATTAAAACTCACAACCTCAAAACTTCTGCCTCTTAGTGCAAAAAGCACAATAGGCATGTTTATTATAATACATTATGATTGGTTAATATATCCATGCATGTTGTACAGTATATGTCCCATATTTATGCTAATTATCTCCAAGTGAATTTAGTTCCCAATATCAATATTTCTCAGTTAAATTATCAATATCACATTTACATTATTTTGTATATATTCAAATGTCATATCAAGCTTCTTCAAGTGCTGATTGGAGTTATTTCAAAAGGACAAAGATGATCAATGTGCTAACTCTGCAGGAAAATCCATAATTAGGGTTAGAGTGAGAGCTGAACCTGTTTGTTTACGTTGTTTTTGCAAGGTGTAATACAGCTATATGTTTATTAGAACGTAAACAACGCTGGATTACAAATGTTTAAAAAAACAAAAACTAACTTCATTGTACATTATTTATCTGGTGAGATGCAAATTTTGCAAAACACAATTGTGAAAAAATATCGATATATTGGTATTTTTCCGGTATTGGTTTTCGTTTTTTTTCAAATATGCAACAGCCTACATCCCACAAATATTACCTTTCTTTAATTAATTAACAAAGTACAAAAATGATGACATCATCCCTTGGCCTTGAGTATTTAAGAAGCCACATTATTTGCAACTTTAGATAACCCCTAATGAAGACACTAGACTGGAGTGTCGAAACGTTGGGTCTTGATTACCATGGTTAAACAAGAAAAATAATAAAATCTGAAATATGTGAAAATCACTGACAACTGAATTCGTAAATTATATATAAATCGCTTATTTCACGCAAAACCAAAATGGCTTGTGGGATGTGGCAGCCTTTTAACCTTGTGGAAATGCACCTTGATGGGCCCAAGTTATTTAAATTTACTCGCACTGTCTATTACTCCAGAAGATTTTACTGTCACGATAAAGTGTCTCTACTAGTGTAATACTGTAATAGTTTCACAAAAATTCTTGATGGACAACATCAAGTTTAGAAATAAAACGACAAAAAATTTTGAGCCTGCCCAATAACAATTTGCTTCCAACGGCATTGTAATAGTATCCTAATGGGTTAAAATATTCACCCGGTTTAGATTCAACAGAGATAAAACATACAGTAACCCACTTGGTAACCCTAACCTAGCTGATGTGTTTATATGCATGGCTTACATAAACAAACAGAGCTCTCCCACTAGCTATTAGGTTACCTATCCATTCGATAGGTAACCCTACCCTAGATGCACAAACACAATAGACTAGGGTAACCCCTACTAGGGTATTACCCTTCTGCTGGAGTCACCCTACATCCCAGTAAATAAGGCCCTTAATGGGTTAAACTTTTTTCAATAGTTACAATAGAGAGGTCCAGATTTGACTGTGTACTTATGACTACTGTACTATGCCATTGTGAGGTACAGTAGTGGTACTGGAGCTCAAGTCTGAACAGTGAACTAGTCAAATCTTCAGATAACAAAGCTACAACATCCATTATACTTAAATCGTGTCTGGCATTTAGACAGTCGTAAAATGCTGTACATAATAATGTAACTAAATTAATGAAGACATATAACATACAGTCACCCACTTGGTAAAGTTCTGGGAAGCCTAACCGATGTGTTTATGTGGCTTACGTAAGCAAAAGCAGAACCCTTCTGCTATGAAGGGTTACCTTCACCTATTTGACATGTAACCCTACCTCATGCACAAAGGAGACAATAGATCAGGGTAACCTGCTTACTAGGGTATTACCCTTCTGGGTTGAACTAGTCACAATAGAGAGGTTCTGAACTGAAATTCTAACTTTTTTTAAAATTAACAATAAAGAGGTAGTGATACTGGAAGTCAGATACAAAGCTGAAACATCCATTATTTAATTAAATTGCTACTGCTCTGATGTGCTTCTTTCCTATATTCTAAGCAGTATGAAACTCTATAGTGTATAGGGGAAGCCAAAGAATTCCATACGATATATTAAAACGTTAAATTACTGTAAGAGCATTGAACTACAGGATAATGTGATACATTGAAGCCTTTGTAAATACCCGGACGTACAGTGTATAAGCTGAATAGATCTTGCTTCACCCTTCAAGATTGGGAACACAGTGACATGTTTATTTAAATATGATGAAAGCCAAATTGAGAACGTATGCATCTGCGCATATTGCAATATGGCTGCACTATGTATATATTTCCTATACCAAGCCTTGGACAAGTTTAGGAAGTTGCTTGACGCTACAGAAATGCCAATACAAACCGAACAAACGCTATATTTTTGACGGGTTTTCGTGCTTTGTATCAAGCCGCGAATGCATGAGTGTTTGACAATGCTTTATACTTTGCATTTTAAACCATTTACTTACTTGCATTTTGACTTGGAATATCGATGTGCACGCTCGTTGTCTTCAATTGAAAACGTACTAAAACGTACTCGGTTGCAAATTAGAAGCCAAGAGGGTTTAATTTCTGGAAGAAATCCGATATGCGAAGATATCTAAATAATACAACCAACCGTAGACGCTGATTGACGATAATCTGACATCATATTGACATTCGATGCTATATTTGTTGCAATATATTGTTCACGTGAAATCTCAATACCACCATGAATGCGTGACTTTCACGTGCAACATGTACAATTCGTGATCGAACATGCATTAATTCCGTTTTTGGGCAGTGTTCTGCATTAAAATAATATTAGAATGCAAGGTGTGATACAGTCTACAAAAATATTGTCACAAAGTAAATTTTTGACTCGTTTTCCAGTAATATATTGACCTGTTGATTCTCGAAACTTCAAGTGGTGTGAGGCGTGACGTCAGAACATGCCACTTTCAGTTTATATTCAAAATTATTAATAATGCTGATAAACAATAAAAATGCTGACACAGTGATTTTATAAATACTCCCCCACCCCCAGGTTTTTTGTCACCGGCGGCTTCACCTAGCTGATGACTTATAGTAATGTATATTATAGTAATGTATTTCTAATTTTTGACAAAATTTCCTTGCACTAAAGTTGATGAATTTTAACTAGTTTAAAACAATTTTTGTCTGTCTTGTGCATTATCTTGCGCATTCTGAGTTTAGGGTCAGGGGTGAAGACCAGCAGATTAGGGACCGATCGTTTATTACGTCTCAGGGGGGGGCGGTGGTTTTTGAGGGGGGGTTAATTTTTTAAATATGGCTATTTTGGGGGGGGTAGTTTTTTGTTTCCCGAAAGGAAAAGAGGGGGGGTTAAATTTTGAAATTGCAAACGATTCTTACATATTAAAATGACTTTATTTGGTTTATGAGATGAAATTCAAAATATATCTACCATTTTGAATTTGAAAAAAAGAAAAACAAATACAAACTAATCAAGCAAGATTGCGCCATTGTGTGCAACTTTTGCATAGAGAAGACTGGAATCTAGTTCTTAGCATTCAACTCTTTATAGTTGAAAGTTTAGTTCAACGGTTTTTAGGGCCTGTTCATATGATCCCGCTTACCGGGACGTCTCGCTTACCGAGACGAATATTTCCGTGCGTTCATATGGAATATTTCGTCCCGCTTGCCGAGATGAAATTACATTGTAGTTCTATAATTAATAGCGTATGCAAAACTTCTACATTTCAGTCAAGCAACACAAATACTTAGCGATTTTAGTGTCTTTTTTTCGTTTATTTACAAGAAAAAGTATTTCTTCAGATGCTTATTTAATACTTGTTTACAAAACAAACATAAAACCAAGTAAAAAGTGTTAAATTAAACCGGCAAGACTTGTTTGACTTCATCCAGGTAAGCGGGCTGGCGTGTTCATATGGAAAAATTTTCATCCCGCCTACCTATGATCTCGGCAAATTCAAACGAGATCTCGGCAAGCGGGCCAGGTCGCTTTCTCATATGAACACAATGCAAAATTTTATAGGAAAATAGATAGGCGGCGAGATCATCGGTAAGCGAGACGTCCTGGTAAGCGGGATCATATGAACAGGCGCTTAAGTGACTCCGCTGAACGGAATGATTGCAGTAAATGGTTTACACCTGAAAAAAAAATGTTTCAAAAAAGGTATTTTTTATCTACATTTTATAATAATATATAAATATTATTGCATTTTTACTTTTACATGTTTATATCATTCATTAATATGATATTTTTGTATAACGTTTTCCTGTTTTGTATTGAATGCCAAAATACGCAATCTTGCTTTTATATATGACTCGATATTATATTAAATTAGCAATTTCGCCGGGCCTTGTAATTCGAATATTTGATGCACTGAGGTTTGATGCCTAGAAATGCCTAGTGCAATTGGGGGGGGGGTATATTTTTAAATTTTAATCTATATAGTTGAACAGGGGGGTCATTTTTTCATTTCCAAAAAATATGGGGGGGTGCATATTTTATTGATAATGTTTTTAAAAAAACCACCGCCCCCCCCCCCTGAGACGTAATAAACGTTCGGTCCC